CTTGCAGTATAATTAACATGGACAAAGCATTTTTAGAAGAGTGAAAAAAAAGGTTGACAGGGAATGAGTGAACTGTCGAATTATCAGAAGCTGAATTATAAGCAGAGCATCTTTCAAAACCAATTACGCTCCTGCGTGTATAACAGAAAGCATGTGGCTGTGTCTCGGGAGGGAGAGCGGGTCTTCAGCGGTTTGATCCCTTCCTCATCTGGTCCACATGTTGAAGTGTCTTAAGCAAAACACTACACTTTAAAAATCAGCCTGAAGGCTATGCCGGTAGTGTGTGAGTGGGTTGTGTGAGTGTTGTATGAATGTATGTGGGAAAGGGTGAACGTTACTCATGCTGTAAAGAGCTTTTAGTCGTCATTAGGATTGGGGGAGCGCTGTACCTTTTTCAGATAGAAATGTCACAGCTTGCACATTATCTATGTCTAGAAACATCACAGACTATTAACCAGAGGCGGATGAAGCGTCTCCTCTTTCCGCCCATCGAACAAAAATGCCAAAATAGAGAAGCCAAAACATCCTGGATACATGCACTGCCATATTGTGCTGGTGACGTAGTTATACCTTATTAAAACAAAACGTGAAGATTTGAATATTAGTGTTATAAGAACGACCGAAGCGACAGAAGCCAATTTAGTCAATTTCTACTTTTCAGTTTGGTCCATGTCCCGTCTGCTAACAGGGAGGAGGTGTTGTTTATGACCATCCACAAGGGGGTGATCCAGATGAGTTGGCCTCACTGTCAAGATCTGCCATGTCGTCCATCTTTATATTCAGACTATGGTACAGATGCATACATTTGCACACACACACTCATAAATTATTGGCCCTTTAAAAACTGATATGTGTCAAACTTAGCCAAGTCTACAACTACAAAATGTGTGTGTGTGTGTGTGTGTGTGTGTGCATTTACTGCTGCAGTAACAGCTCTCTCTCCCTGCAGCCTCCAGGGTCTTCACATTGACCTCCTCCCCATGCCACTCCCACCACCAGATGGGAACGCTGGATCGTCTCTTTATATGAACTCCACATGCTGTCTGCAGCTCTTGCCAAGACCGAGAGGAAAAATGTACCAGTGTTCTGTATGTTCAAATATCAGTCTCCACCGTGTACTCAATGACGCCGTGCAACCGGAGACCACCTGTTATTTCTGTTCTATTTTTTTTTTTTTGTCCTCAAAGTTTGAATTCTTGAATATTTGACATGACACTTCATTGGTGTGCATGACCTTGATTCTTGACATATTCTGCTTTTCCTTTACTAAGCAAAATGAACATACTGGAAGTGTTCTGATCTTTTTTTTCCACCAGGATTTCTCTGCATTGATGATCTGCCATTAGCAGAGGTACTCAACCTGACCTGGAGAAACAGCGCCCCCTTCCTGCTTTACGTCATTAAACAAGCAATCCAGCATATTTCTTGATTTGTCAGTCCATTTAAATCACACAATATAGATGCTGAACAGTTTCATATATTTACCGATAATTGATCTTAATTAATATATCACTATTTTAGATTTCCCACTTAATCAGAAGAAGTGCCATGATATAGGGCACTTGATCACATGGTGCATATTTGCAGCAATTATTTCAGTTCACATATAGTACATACACCTGGGCTCAGTGAATGTGCACATATGTGTCTCATATTTTTTTAATGTGTCTTGTATGTTAGATCCGGTAAACGTCACCATTGTGAATGTGATTGCTGATAAAAGACCACGAGAAAAACTAAACTGATACATTACTGTGTCCGGGCCACAGTAATTTAATAATGATAGATGATAGAAAGCATTTTTTTTCTGTTTGTTTTTTTGCATGTTTACATGATAGGGGATGAAGATTAGCATAAAATACAAAATGCAAATATGCTCATCAAGAGTGCTAATTTACATCTGTTCCTCCTAGGCTGCTAAGAAACAAACAAAAGGGCAAAGAATGTGAAAGTACAGACACTAGTATATAAGTACACATATAGAACAATACAAAGGATATTCCCTTACTAAGCGGTGGGCCATTCTACTTCCACATGTGGTTCGCCTAAATGTCACCATACACTCTTTTAGTATTATTGTCAATGAAATGACAGTGGCTTTCAATCTAAAACTGAGATTAAATAAATTCAAATGGTGTCCTTTGGGATTAATCAAATCTAAATGAATCACATTCAGAAATATTTGCAGTGAAAAGCAACTCATTAATTAACATGTTTTTTTTATATGAGTGAAATAATCATTCATAGTGGTCAGATCATGAAGGAACTGTTTTCATGAAAATATGTAAGTTTGGAGAACAGAGATCAATATCAGAGAAGAGATTGCAATCTAATCAACACAGACCAGTGGAAAGATCAGTAATGTGGGGCCCGTGGGACCCCCTTGTGTGGAGAATTCACCAAACAGCATTGAGGAGATTAGAGAATCAGCTCCCACAGCATCTATCTCCCCTCCCTCAGTTTAAACAGCTCTGCAGCTCAGCTCCAAGTCAAACATGGGATAAATGTTTTCATGTGCGAAGCCCTGGAACTGAACCAGGATCCCTGATCTGACAGGAAACCCCTTCCCATCATAAACAGAAGGAAAGGACCTGTGGGTGTCAGTGATGCTGTCTGGTCAGAAGAGGGCAGCAGAGGGGAAGGAGGCTCTAAAAATAGCCCATTGCCATGGTGATGGTGCTGATGCAGACAGATACAGACACCTTTGTTTATATTCTCTAACAACACACAGTCGTCCACAATTTGCGTCTCCATTACATTACATTGACTTTCATTAATTTCTTGGACACTAAGCCCCTATGACAGAGGTTGTGATTTGTATTTATTGGCTGTACAAATAAAATCGGATTGATTGATTTACTCAAGCCCTAACAATAATTACTACTTGCCTAACTCTAACGTTTAAATGTTAGGTTAAGGTTGGGTTTGGTTAGAGTTAGGTTTACATTCTCTCACCTTAAAATTTAATGATATAAGTGATAGATGTCACTGTGTAAATCTATATGAGTAATACCTGCACACACACACACACACACACACACACAGTTGGCTTCAGAACACCACTTCCTCACAGGTGGATTAGATCAGATTATCGGAGGCTAAATGGGGATTAATGAAGATCCAGCTCTTGTGGAGGGTGAATCTGATCACCTTGCACATGGAAGATGTTATGAACTGGTTCTATCTGTGCTCGGAACACATGTAAGACTGAGTGTTGACTTTTTCTAAATGCTTTCTCTCGGATGTGTGTTTGCTCAGTTGAGCTTCATTAGTGTATTTGTCCTCCAAACAAGTTTTGCAAAGATTTCCTGACCTAATTAGTTTGATTAGCCCCGAGCTTCCTGCTAATGACTGACCCAGCACACTACAATAAGTGAGCTCCCAGAAACTGGTTCGTCTGATCAACTACATTCACTCCTGACACCAGAAGATATTGTTAAACAGCTATGGTGAAAAAAAACTATGTGCATTTACTCAGTTACTTTACTTAAGTCCAATTTTGAGGCACCTACAGTATGTTATCGCTATACTTTATATTATGCTCCTACTCCATCACGTGTCTGTGGGAAACATTGTACTTCTTACTCTGCTACATTTATCTGACAGTTGCTATTTACTTTTCAGGTCATGATTTTATATTTAAACCATTTCAATCAGCAATAAAACATATGGTACTGTTTAAAATGAGCCTTGACTCCGTTAAAGGTTCTGTCCTCTCAGGGTACTGGAAAATGCAAATAGATATCAATGAAACAACTACTATCAAGATCCAACCTTTATTTCTTGTATGACTATGTGGTCTATTTCAGATGCTTTTTGCAAAAAAGAGATAGAACAGCATCACAAACACAACAAAACGCAAAAACCTGCAGGAATAAATGTTCTCAAAGATAACAGTCAAGTCAATAGAAGTCAGAGGTGTAGTCTCGTGTCTCTGGAGAAGTTTTAAAATGATTCTTAGCTTCTCTGTCCTCAGAGCAGACCTGTAGCAGTTCAGCCTGCGGCCTCTAGGTGATGCACTTGTGCAGAAGTTTCTATTAGGAAGCGTTTCGAAGAAATTCAGCTTCATCAGGCCAAAACCGGATGAGGCTTTCACCTCCAAAATAAAATAAAAGATTGTGGTTTGCCAGTATGAATCAACAAGAAAGATCATGAAGATATTTTTTTGGGAGTGAATGCAGTGAAAAACACACACTTAATTTACTTTAATTACTTCAAAATACAAAATGATCTTTGAGCAAGCATGATTTTAATGGAAAACGAACATATAATAAATATAAAGCAGCTACTTTTGTATAAATCTGTCTTGAATGGGCTTAGATTTAAGGCAGTACTTAAATTTGTATTTGAAAAAGATATTTGATGATTCAAGTCGCAAAAACATCTCTGTCAGCAGCTTCCTTTATATTTTATTGTACAGCACCTATTTTACAACTTCACTGACCATTTTCTTATTGTTTCGGTCATTCTCAAATCTCTGTCACAGTGTTCTTGTGTGTGTTCTTTATTTGTGAGGCACTCTGTAACTTTGTTTTCAGAAGTGCCGTTTGAACAAAGATATCATTATTGTTTTACTTTGAATTTATATGATTATATATTATGTATATCTATTATTGTGAGGGGGGGTCAGGTTTAAATATCTGTTACATGTTTAGCGTTGAAGCGCTTTGTTAATTGTTGCACAAACAGAGATAGTATTACTATTATTATAACAATAATTATAAGAAATAGAAGTATATATCATAATATATATATATTGATCATTATAGCAGGTGGCTATGTGCCTGTTACACGTTTAGTAAAGAAAGTAGTAGTAGTAGAAGTAGTGCGTTATTGTTGTTTTTTGATAGTAATAGTGACGATGATGATGATTATATTTTTTATCACAGTTAATAGTCAGCCTCTTGAAGGGCGAGGCAGGTGAAATTGCGCGTGAGCGTGGGTTTTATTTTGAAACGTGAGCCCCGGATGCGCGCGCCGCTCTATATGAAGCGTTGACTCAGACCCAAGCGGCGACACTTCCAGCAGCAGCGAGCGGAGCGAGAGCGCGAGGAGCCCGGGGAGAGAGCGACACCGACCGTTTCCTGCCTCCGGGAGCCAGCGACCACCGGACGAACACCCGCGAACAAGAAGCGCAAACCCCGCTCCGTTAGTTCTTTCACTTCTTTCTAGTAACTTTCCTCCGCGGAAGGCGACAAGTGTTCACGCAGGGACCCGGGGAAGAAAGGGGAGAGGACTTCAGCGGCTCCGCTCACCTCCAACATGGCTTCGACCACCTGCACCAGGTTCACGGACGAGTATCAGCTGTACGAGGAGCTGGGGAAGTGAGTGCTCCACGTGTTTTTTTTCTACTCGTGCAAATGTTTGAGTGAGTGACCGTGAAGCTCCGGCTGGTTTTTCCTAATGAGGCTCCCTCACGGCCACCGCCGCCCACCTGTGTCTCACCTGCTCCCACCTGGAGAGCCCCTCAGAGCCGTTTGCAATCCAAGAACACCTCCGTGTTTCCGAGCTCACAGCGTAAATGCGGTTCATTTAACTTCTGCAGCGGCTGAACAGTTTTCCCTCACGTTGCTCCGGATCGTTTGATTCACCTTGCTCGCCCTCCATTAGCTTCTATTCTGAAGGAAGCGTGGTTTAATATCACCCCCCCGATCAGCTGATAAGGGGGGGGGGGAAAGTTCAAATTGCGTTCCAAAGCAGCGCCACGTGTCTTATAATGCATGCCGGGTTTTAGTAATGATCACGCACGATCTCTCACTCGTGTTGGAGAATGCTCCGCAGGTCATGTGCTAATGGCGACATGTTGGACAAGTGAGAACATGCAGAAATCTGGGTGGAATCTGGTGCGGAGCAGGTCAGGCAACAGGTTGACCCGCGTCTCTCTGTCAGCTGCAGTGGAAGAAAGCCTGATGGAGGGGACGCAGTGAAGGAGCAATATTTTTCTTCACTTATTCAAAAAAGAGAAGATGTAATGTGTCAAGTGGTTTCCGAATCAAATCATTTCTTTCAATAATCCTGATTATTACAAAAGCTAGATAAATACTTTCTTTAATTGGGTATTTTGTGGAAATTGGGGTCGCAAATCTCTGGGCTGAAACATTTACCAACCTCTGTCACACTAAAATGTTTCAATCATTTCAATTTGATGGCGTACAGCTCAAAAGGTATAAAAACAAGTATCTCAAAATATATGAATTTGAGAAATCACTCTTCATACAGTATGAATATCGTATATCTCTCAGTCTATCTCAGTACAGTCACAGGGAAGACTTGACAGTTGTCCAGAAGACAATCAGCCACAGGGAGGATAAGCCACAGAAGGTCATCGCTGAAAGGGCTGGCTGTTCGCAGAGTGCCAGATTGAAGCACATTTGCAGAAAAGTGCGGTAGGAAAATGTGAACAGGCAGACATCTGCAGGAAATGAGCTGCGACAATGGCATTCTTATCGAGCCTCTCCTGACCCCAGAGGCCATCAGAGGCGTGTTACCTGGGCTGAGGAGGAGAAGAACAGACCAGTCCTCTTTTCAGATGAAAGTAAATTTAGCATTTCATCTGGAAGTCAAGGTCCCAGAGTGTGGAGGAAAAGTGGAGAGGCAAGGAATCCAAGTTTGCACTCCAGTGTGGAGATTCCAACGTCTGCTGTCGTTGGTCTTTTAGTCGTCTACCAGGAGATTTCAGAGAACTTCATGCTTCAGTCTCACTTTACGGAGGCGTCAATTTCCCTTTCTTTTCTTAAGTACTGAGTGCATACATGAACATACCTCTCAGAAGCTGCACATTTCTGTGTTGTAAATCCTGTTTTTAATCGATCTTAGGAAATATTCTAAGATATTGGAGTCATCCGCTAGAAATATTTAACTTTATGTGAATCAAATCTAGAGTATATGAAATCTTCCCCTTTTGAACTAAATTTTGAGATGCACCTGTATGTAAACTACATGGAAATGAGACAGTGACTGTGATCCTCTGTCTGTTGTGTTTGCACCAGTCATCGGTTTGCACAAGTTTCTGCCCATTCTGTGCAAAAATGGTAAGTGTGGGCTTTCACAGGCACCTTCATATCCAAAGTTTTCTGACTAAATTTGCATCTGCACACGTTGACACAGATGATGTTAGAAAAAAATATTTTCAGAGGAGTTGGTTCACTGAGCAGATACAGGGACCTTTCAAGGGCTGGGATGTAAAACGATATTGAAATATAATTTCCATCAATATCAAGATAGCAAAAGTCTAATTAATATATATATATATATATAGGGAGGTAGAACACATAACTGATTCAAGGGTTATCAAGTATAAAGAAGAGTTTAAAACCACAAGTCTTTAAACTTTACAGATGTAATAACGTGAAATAATTATAATGATTATTTATATCTACTGACAGGAACATTTTTATTGCGTTATGATTTTTGTCCATATCGCCCTAGACCTGTCAGCCGCAGTTATGTATCATTTATCAGACTGACTTATCACTTCATAACCTTCAATAAATCAATTGTTGCTCCATTGAGGATCATGGCTGAATAGCGGCTATGGGAGTTTTGATGACTTATAATCAATCCATGGATACGTTCATTGAATGTGTAGCTCGAGGGAGCGTTCTCCTAATGCCTCCATGTGGACAGTAATTTAGGTTCAGTTTATTGCACCTGCATGTTTATAGAGGGAGCATCTATTTTAAGCCTTTGTGGGTAGGAGGGGTGAAGGAGTGCAGGGCGAGCGCTGATCTGGTCACAATTAAAGGTGTGGCTGTTATCTTGTAAAGAGGGCAAGAGGAAGGGAGCGGTGTCACAGTGGCAGTCAAAGCGATTTAGAATGAATGAATCGGTGGGAATATCTGTTTAGGGGGAATGCAGTGAATTTAATGCCTGCAGATGCAACATGAGCTACTTCTCTAGTTGTTTTCAGTGACCTTTAATCTGCGCACTGTCGGCTCGTGTGTGTGTATTACTCATATATGGTAGGTTTAAGATTCAAGGCTGCTTATGAGACTGTGTTTTTATACTTCAGGGACCACCGGCAGAATCTTGTGTGTGTGTAGATTTATTTAGCAAAGAAAAATGACAAATAATAATATACAGTGCAGGGGCAGGCAGAAAACCCATTGGGCTTATTTTGAAAGCCTTAAATATAGTTTCAATTTCAACAAATTAGACTATACAAAGTGTAGAAATGAATATGATTACCCATGAGTCAACAAGTCTAATGTGGACCTGCCTAGGCTCATTAATGTAAATTATGACCTGTGACCTGACCCGTCACCCGTGAGTCACTCACATCAAATGGCTCGTGTCCTCTTTGTCCTGCTTTGGTAATTTACCTGTGGTTTGAGAAAGGATCTGTGAAATGTTGCTCTACTTGTTCTTCTGCAGCAGACCAGAACTGGTGCAGGAGCTTTTTCTCATTTGGTTTTGTGGCGACGTTTGAGGGGATGACATGAACTTGTGTTGTCAACCTGCTGCGCTTCTCCTGTAGCTGAACACTGTTTGCATGGTAAATGGGCTGTATTATATCTGTTTTGGATTTTCATCATCTTCAAACCTAACCAAACAAATTTAGCACTAAAGAATGGGACCCTTTTATTCAGTTGTTTGTTCTTTTCATTTGTGTGTAAACCTGACCTTAATCCTGTCAGGACCCAGAAGGCCAGGCCGCCAAAAAAAAGAGGAAAACATCATTTCTGGAACTATGCAACTACAGAGCCTCTACAGATCATTTACCTCCTGTTTACACTTGTCTGGACAGGGATGGATTTCCCCCAGTCCTGCTGTAACAAAACTGACCGATCTTATGTGCTTTGACTGATCCCTGCTCATTTCTGTTGTGTAGGGGCGCTTTCTCAGTCGTGAGGAGGTGCATGAAGATTTCTACCGGGCAGGAATACGCCGCCAAAATAATCAATACCAAGAAGCTGTCCGCCAGGGGTGAGTACATAAAGCTGAACTGGCTTCAAGCCCATGAAAAGCTGTTGTCACTCATCCAGTTGCTGCTGTGATATAGGCTTTTGTTTCAAGACAAGAGGCTGTGGCAGCAGTAGTATCTTCGCTAGATATGGTTCACCAACATTCTCCTACTCATGTGTGAAGTAGCAGGTTTCAGGTGGTAGCAGCCATGCTAACCACTCCTCCAACTCTAAACTCCTCCTCCCCTGCGTTTAATTTAGCAGATATAGTCTGAACTCCGATGAGCTGCACATGACTCTGGGAGCTGGTTTTCACATCGGAACACAAGCAAGTGAAGGCAACATGATGGTAGAATTGAGAAATGCTCTCCTCGTGGTGCCGCCCTTTTTTGTGTCTGCACGCGCTTTTATTTTCCTCTCCTCACCTTTTTCATTCCGGCCGTGATTATCTGTGCAGCATGGGTGGAGGCTCTCGCGGATTGGATTTTGTGCTGCTGATAGATCCCTGCACACGACCCTAATGGGCTGACGGCAACACACAAATATACAAAACAAAAGGAGATGGGCTTGAAAAAGCACATGGTGGTGGGAGCGATTGCACAGCGGCAGCAGATTCAGCATCTCATCAGAGAGGCGGGGGGTTTCCTTACATCTTTAAAAGCTGCATCATTTAAAAAACAAAACAAAAAAGCCCCCCAAAAATGAGGGTGTGCATGTGGTTTTTAAAAAAGAGAGAACAGAGGCAATACTGAAAATGAAACAAAAACTTAAAAGAGATCTTGCTACTCTTGTTGGATCACCGACACAGTGTCTCTATTCATGCACAGCCAGTCTTGCCATATGGTGGGGGGGGGGGGAGAAATGAGGGGCTGAATGAGAAAGTTTGTGGTTCCAGGGTGTAATCATTGGTGCTGTGGAGGTGAGGGGAGAACATGAGCGATGAAACGGATGAGAGCAGAGAGAAAGGGGCAGATGTTTATAGAAGTGAAGTCCATGATTGATTCCATACTCAGATTGCTTTTGCCCAATGCTTTCAATGAGGCCGAGCTCCCCTCACCTGGAGGAGAAAATGAGGGGGAAATAGAAAGCATAGAAGAGGTGTGTGTGTGTGCGTGCATGCGTATTCAATAGCATTGCTCTGGTGTTTGTAAATGTTGAAATCTGGCTTCTTGAAGTAAGGGAAAAAAAAGAATTTTTTTGAGTTTACCCAGAGGAAATGTTTAGTCACCAGAGGCACATTCAAAGAACAACTCTGGTTTTCTTATTTTCAGAGGTTTTGTTTTTTTTCTGTTAGTAGAATGAACATTGTTCTGTGATTTTATCTTGAGCGACTTATATGAAGAAACAAATAAAATGTAATCTGTAAACCTATTCTATTGTAAACATCCAACACAGTTTATGGACCAACCTGCTGCTTCAACTTTGAAGCACTGTACTTACTGTAATTATCACAAACTGTTTTCTGTAGTAATTATTACCTCTGTCAAGTTGTGTCTGTGTTTGGGTGGGGCATGAAACAAGAAGAACCCATTAAATGTTGCTGCAGATCCAGGAACTTTATTTCACTTTCTTTAACATCGTGAGACATTTTATAACATTTTGTTGGTTTCTCTCAGAATAATACATTCATCCTGATGAAAACTATTTTTGGAAGTCTGCCCTTTGGAAGGTGGTTCTGATGAATCTGTTTTTTCTCACTCCTCTCTCTCTGTGTTGTTATTGTCATGACTTTGTCTCCACTGTGGCTGCAGCCTTCCTCATGATGGCCACAACACAAAACCATTGCTGGTCATGCCAAGAGGCCACAGTGAGGTTAAAAGCACTGAAAAACAGAATTCACACAGACTAAAAGCATACAAGGAGTAAAAATATATGGCTGTACCCCCAAGGTTTTTCTCACTCAAATCAGATTCAGCCATTCCAATACAAATATTTGTTGATTTCTTTTTTCTTTTTATTAATGTTTTGACAATTATTCAACAGTTTTTTTTTTTGACGACTGATCAGAAATGTGGGACAACAATTGCTGCTGTTTGCAGCAGCCTGTACCCATTGCAGGCATCTTTTCCAAGTGCACAGGACGAAATGATGGAGCTGGCTGATGTAAAGTGAGGAGTACTCAGTCCGCAGCTTTTCTAGGGACTGAAGTGATCCCTTACTGATTAAAATAAAAAATGCTAAACTTAAAGAATTTCAGTTGACTGGGGGGTGCGACTAATGGCTGAGACATCTTTATCTTTTGGTTGCTTTGATACTATAAGTGCATATTTCGGCTTCAAATGATGTAAACCCCCCTAATTGGACTTATAGCGATTTCCCATTCGAGCAGTGTTCAGAATAGAGGAAAGACAGCACTGTTGGCACATGATGCTTTTTGGCAAATAGACGGGTGGATACAGTAGCGCACTGTCAGACTGGATGATGGATATTAAAGCAGGCGGGCTGACCTCGAAGGCCACGCTCAATGAGGGGAAACCCCAGAGTCACCACTACTCACTGCGTGATGAGAAATCCTAAACTGGAAGCCTTATCACATTGGAGTGCCTTCATGTGACTGTAAAACCTTGGCTTCATTCCAACCGGCAGCGCTTTCTGGTGCAGTGCACTTGGAATATTGACGTAACCGCACAGTAGCACAGCTGGACTCACAAGTACATCAGGAGGACTTTTAGACACAATGTATCTTGTGCTCTCAGAAAGTATATAATCACATCCACATCTGTTTGTTTGCAAGGACATCGGCTTTAACAGTGGGAATGACATGCTGTATTTGTTGTGTTGTTCTGTCTTTGCACATTTCAGAACATGAGCGTTGTGATGTTTAACTGTAATGTCCTTGGCTTTGAATCGTAGTATCCTGTGAGTTAGCATCTGGGCCTTCCTTGTTGTATACCATCAGACTATATTATAAAAAAAGCTTGGAGCAAGGTCACCCCTCCACACAGGGGGATAAGAAAATGGGCCAGTGATGTGTAGATAGGACACAGCTTGGATTGAGAGCAGCATTGGTTTGACTCATTCGGCTGCAGCCTCCGCTCTGACTGAAGCCTGGCTGTACAGCTTGCCAGATTTGTATCAGTTGAAACAAGCAAGATTTAACAGCTGTTGATGCTCATATGTCATTTTTATCATCTAAATGATGCAATGTTTAGCAGTTTCATTGCTTCATTTTCAGTTTAAATTGCCTTGTTTGCACAACGTGTTACCTTTTGTTAAATCTTACTCTTGTGTCAGATGTTGTTCAGAGGACACAGTGGATTAGACTGATGTGTTCACACAACTATATCTGATGGTGTGTACAACCACGTGGTCTGTGTGGACTCTTGTGGATATTGTTCAATTTACAGAACGTGGACCTTTTGTTGTTATTTGGACCCAAAACTAATAGTTTCAGTGGTTTAATTGAAATAGTGTTGAAGAATGCTTACTTGATAATAAAATGACATGACAAACATTCATATATCATTGTCAGGACTGCACATCGGATTTCAAGACCAGCTGTGTCGAGGGCCATGCTGGCATAGACCAAGAAGGCGTCTAGTCTATGGAGGACTTCCCATTTGTCCCTCCCTTACTGTTGCATAGTTAGCTATTTGACCCCCTGCACTCACTGCAGCTCGACCGACTGCATAGCTAGCTCATTAGCTTCATCACTGGCATGCAATAAATCCTGGGCAAGGTTGGCCCGAGAAGAACAAACTCATTGGATACGTCATTGCATAGGAAAGAACTCATTTATCAGCCACATTTGAAGGAGCCTTTGATTAGAGAGAGCCGAGTCATGCCACTGTGAGACGTTGGTATGCAGCCACTGAATTGGGACAACTACTGTTTGAGTTTTAACTTTAATATGTCCATAGAAGGTTGTATTGAATTGGCATTCAAACTCAGATTGAAGGGGAATTAAAGGTTGTGCAAACTAATGGTAAACCGGGATCTTGAGTTTGTTTCTCATATGTAGCAGTGCCATCCTGGCTCAGGTATTTTTTTGATCTTAAGGATAACTTGGAAATGTTGACAATATTATTAATTTGATGAAGTTCTTCTGGAATTTAAACACTGAATCATTGACTAGTTTAGTATAGAGCTGCAATGATCAATCTTTTTATAGCTTGACCAAATTAAATTGAGATATATTGATGAATAACTAACTATGTCTGTTTATCAGTCAACATTAATGCCAAACTCTGCTTGTCTCTAATGATATGATGTGATGTTTTTCCTTTGTCGTGCAGTGTGGTTGAAAACTGAAAATCTCTTGAGTTCTTCTTGATTAGATTGAACTAGATCTAAGATGATCGCTTTGGGAAATGGGCATTTGTACTATTTTGTTGCATTCTGTAGACAAAATAATGAATTGATTAATAGAGACAGATATTTACATAATGGTTAATTAAACATGAATTGCAGTCTTGGTTTGAAGTATATTGGCACCAGTGTTGAAATAAAGTTTATTAAATATCACAGATTCTGAAAACTTGGAAACAATATCCAGCCTTAATCACTGTGAGATTATTTCAGTTTGCTTTGCATTCATACTGTAAAATAAGATGATTGTTGATGGAGACGACTGTGACTGGTAGTCACGATCACTGACACTGATAGTTCTCTAGTGTTGCCACTGTATGTACAAGACACCATTTCTTTTTGTCTGCAGAATGGTAGTCTGCTTGGATTTCTGAGGAGTATTTTATTTTGTGGGAATGGGTTGTCTTTTCCATTAGCATGTTGATTCTTCCACCATTGGCTAAAGACAAGTATATGGCTGTGTTTTTTCCTCTGGCTTTCATTTTGTGTCATAAAGCAGTTCACCAGATTTTCTTCTGGTTCAGAATGTTCAGCACAAGGTCTTGTTTACCTTTTTTTTTTTTTTTTTAAATTAAATTTCACGATAGCGAAAAATCAATAACACAAATTCGGAAAAGGTTTTGGAAACCTCTCTTCCTTCAAAATAAAAGCCAGAGCGTGTAACTGAAACATTACCCAGATGTGCTGAAGTGAAAGCACGTCCTCAGTGACAGT